AAAGGGGGCTATTGCATTAAAAAAAAAAACCCTAAACCCTAAACCCTAAACCCTGAACCCTAAACCCTAAAACCTAAACCCTAAACCCTAAACCCTGAAGGACGTGAAGCCTGCGCCGACGGATTATCGTCCCAAGACCGACCTGGTGAAACACTCGGGGGGCAACCCGAGGCCTCTGCGTCTCGGCGTGAGAGACGTCAGAGGAGGAGAGGCCTTCAGGGTGCTTTGCAAGGGTTTAGGGTTTAGGGTTTAGGGTTTAGGGGGTTTCTTTCAATGGTGCCTTTGTAAGTGTTGTGGATCTAGAATAATTAAGGGGTGTAGTCCTTGTAGTAATCTGCCATGGTTACAGTACAGCGTCCCAACTAGCCCCATCTATTTAGCAGTCAGAGTGCGAGTTTGTTGATCAATTTGCGGGGCTTAAAGGAGATTTCTGGTCTTCATGCTGTAGGATTTGGGGGGAAAAGGGGCGAGGCATGCAAGGGGACTATGAGGAATGTTGAGAAGACTGTGGCATCTTGTGACATCGAACAGTACAAGGATAGCTTGAACCATCAATGCGAGACTGGCAACTGCAATGACAAGAGCAACATTGTAAGGCTGCTGCAGCAATAAATCACCCTACCAGCACGGGAACAAGGTTCGCGATGGTATCAGAAAGCGCAGCAGCTCCAGTGTTTGAAGCCGTCACGTCATTGCTGGCAGCGGCATGAGCATGGTCATTGGCATTTAACACTTCCAGCAAAGCAACAGCGTCGACGACGACAAAATCGACAGCAACGCAGTGTACAGGATAGGAGCTTGAGAGGATAGGGTGCGGCTGCGGTGTGCGAGTGTTGCTTTTTTTTTTTTCTAACTTGCGGTTACCGCAACTTCATCTACATCTCCCTACAACGTCCTGCGAGGCAAGTTGCTATTGCTGCATATCCTTCTAACATCATCTAGGTTCGTGCTGTCTGTGCGAGAACATGGCAACAGCAAACTTTCACGCAGATCTAGAGCCTGTCACAGCTGTTGCTGCGCGTCAGCACGAATGCGGTGACATGTTTAGGTTTGGTGTAGTTCGAAACTTAAAGCCACCCGAAAGTCCGACCTAGGAACCCAGATCCCAAGGACCTAAACCCTGAAGCCTATCATGCCCGTGGGCCCAGGCATCGCACGGACCCGCGCAAGAGCCCCTTGGGCAAGCAACAGCTGGGCCAGGGAGTCCTCAATTTATTGCGCCCTAGTGCGGCATACCATGTCCTTAACGCGTTTCTCATGTGGGCCCCGAACTTCAGAGATCTGCAACTCAAAACCCCACGGCCCAAATCCCAAGACAAAGGCCTCAAATCTGAAAGCATGTGTGGCCTATGCTACACCCGCCATAGCAGCCCGTAGTAGAGCAGCAAAGCCCTGCCCTGAGGTCCCTTCGACATTTCTGTGGCTGGTCTGGACGGCGAGGCTCAGGATGTCTTAGGCTTGAGGGTTCGAGAGAAGAAGGGTTTGGGGTTAGGGTTCCTGGGGCTTTAGTTTTGCTTTGTGGCTTTCCGATGGCGTTCTTGGGCGCCAGGAATTTTGGGCCTTAGTTTGCCGATTTGCGAGCATTTCAGTAAAATGAACTATCAGAAACCCGTATGGTTCTGATCCGAGTCAGAACGAGGCGCCGCGATTCTTGCGCTCGGAATTCTATAGTTGAACAGAGCTTCTTGCCAGGGTCGGACCTCCTGAGGTGGTAGAGGGTACAGGTTTGGGGCCCGGACCTCCGCTGCTCGCTGGGAGCTACGGAGGGTAGGTACCAGCGAAACCTAAAATTATGGGCGCTGAGGGTATGCGCGAAGGCAGCAGCCTCGCCAGTGCCAAGCAGCACTATGATGATGCAATGATGATAGATATGGTCATTGGTTTAGGGTTTAGGGTTTAGGGTTGTTGCTGAGCTTATTGAGCAGACGCTAGCGTTGAAATACTGTATTGCGGCGCGTAACATGGCAAGGTAAAGTTACAGTACAATTGCTTTCGCGGCGCTGCAGGATAACGGCAGGCTTGCTGCGTATAAGATGGTCCCGTGTCAAAGTAGTATTCTGAGACATGACTTGCTTATCAGAGTATGAACCCATCACACAGGCGCTGATGAAGCATCTCAGTAGTGCAAGGACGCAGTACCGCATGGCATTTTTCGGTGCTGTGGTCTGTGCATTCATGGTTTGGTCGAGTAGCAGTCGCATCATGAGAATGTTAGTTGTGGTCGTAAAGCTTCATTTAAGCAAAACCCAGTTGACAAGATAGGGTTTTGCTTACCACGGACCCTAAACCCTAAACCCTCATCAGGCCATCTTGAAGCGAGCGCTGAAGAGCCTGGACGATCGTCCGAAGGACGCAACTTGACCAGCAATGTTTAGAGTCATGAACCCTCACAGCCTTAGTCTTAGCGGTTTAGGGTTCAGGGTATAGGGTCCTAAACCCTAAACCCTGAACCCTGAACCCTGAACCCTAAACCCTAAACCCTGAACCCTGAACCCTAAACCCTAAACCCTAAACCCTAAACCTTAACCTGTAAAGCCCGAAAGAAATCCGCGGAACCAAGGACTTGGCGGAGAAGTACGACCGCACCACCCCCAGCTGGACGCTGCAGCCACGGAACGACGCCAAGATGCGCGAAGTCCCTGCGGCCTGCAGCGAGTGGCTTTAAGCTTGGGGCCGTAAAAGTCAGAACAGGGTGGGTTTCTTCATTGGTAGGCACTGCAGCAGATTCGGTGTTCGGCATGTAGTCCCTCAGGTTTCTGTTGGGCTTGGTGATTGATGAACTCCAAGGCTTACGCTCTGGCCCAAGCCCTTGACCACTGTTGAAGCCAAACCCTGAACCCTAAACTCGACACCCGGGTTTAGGGTTTAGGGGTTTAGGGTTTAGGGTTTAGGGTTTAAGCCGCGAGCCTGAGCTTCGTGTGGAATCAGCCCAGGCTTACTGCGACAACCTCTACGGCCCGTGGTCATCTTTCGGCTAGCGGGCCCATGTGATTCCTCTTCCTCTTCCCAAAACCACCAGCAAAGCTAAAACTTAAGACCTGTAGAACCCGTATCCCCAGCTCCTAAACCTAATGTAGAAAGCCTCAACCCTAAACCCAAAACCCTAAACTCAAGAAGTCAAGATTCTGGTCGTCTCACTTGAGAAGATCGGGGGGAAGGTCGTTGCCGAAAGGCCCGGCCTAGGCCAGAGGTGCAGGAGCTTCCGCCCCTTTTAGACTCCTGAACTTTACAATCCTTTTCGGGTTGAGGGTTTAGGGAGCTTGGGTTTGGTAGAAGTGGATAGGGTTTCTTCCGGCTTTGTGGCTTGAGGGCTTGGGGGTGTGGGGTTTGGAATAAGGATTTCGGGTTTGTGGTTTCGCTTCATAGAGGCCGTGCGATTGACGGGCTGACGGTTTCAGGTTTCAGGACCCGCTGCATTGCTGGGCTTTTGGGAAGACCGGATTTGGGGGTCACGTTCCTTGTAGGGTTACTTGGAGGATCATGGGACTTAGTAAGTAAGGTTATAAGTCCCTTAATTGGGGTTATAAGCAAATATAAGTATAGTTGCCTTAAATTATAACCCTACTTACTAAGTCCCATGATCCTTGAAGTAGGAGACCCTACACTCCGTATAGGATGAGCGACTTGGAGGCGCTGCTCCATTTGGGATCGTGGGGGTTGGGGCTTTCGAGGAAGATCGAAAGAAGACGGAACTTCCTGCATCGGTCGGTGGTTTATGCCTGCGCATACCAAAGGTATGATGCCTCTAAGCCATCGGTGCAGAATGCACCGAAGGCTTGCTTTGGTGCGATTTCTTGGGGTCTAGGAGTAGGTGACACTGGCGATGCCATGGAAACAAGGAGCGTGCTTGAGTTCGTTTCTGGTCGCTCCATTGCATCAGTGGACCCTGCCAGTGCAGTAGACTTTCTGATAACAACTGCTAGTAAATGTGCTCGCGCTGTTGGAGCCCCTGGCAAGCCGCGTAGCTCAGGCATGATTTCCTTCCTATTGCTTATTCCAGTCGTCCTCCTGCATGCACATGCGGACGGGGAGGCATGCGAGGCATCCCCCGGTCCCGTTGGGGACAGGGAAGAGCTGCCCCTCTTGCAGATAGGCGCGGTGGGCCACAGCGCCCAAGCCCAAGGCACCTGTTCTTCAGAAGACTTGGGTGCAGAAGAGCTGCTGGAACAGGCTTTGCGTCAACAGCAAGCTCAGTACAATATCCAGTCCGATCTGGAGGAGGCTTTCTCGTACACGACGGGTGAAGTAAAGCGTGAGTACGAGAAAGTCGAGGAAGACACATTGACCTTGTCAGGTGATGATTTGGAGGATGACAGCACGAAGGGTAAGTGGCTGAGCCGATTGGCAAAGGTGGGGGAGTGTGTCACAGAGATCACCGTAAGTGAATATATGCCTATGCTTCCTGAGTGGATGTTCAAAAAGAGAATCCTCAAACACGATCCAGCAGAGAAGAAGGAGAAGCACGAACGCTACGGGGGCATCATTGCTACGGTTCTTGGATTTCTTTGGCCAGAGGACTCCAGTGGAGAAGTGGATATTTGGTCGCTGGTTCTCAGCGATGTTGAGGAAATCGTGAATGTGTCCATTCTCAATGAGGAGTTGCATGAAAGGGAGGCAGACTTCCTCTCCGTGCGAAGCTACCTAACCCGATATAGCCGGGAGAGCACCATCACGGAAAAGGGCAATGATTTGTCCATTGCGCTCGCAAAGGCACAGGACATCATGAATCACCTTACTCTCTCCACGAACAAGTACGAGTTGCTTCCCATCACTATTGTGGGGGCGACGCTGCACTGCGTCATTCTGCGAGAGCGGCTGGCTCATGGAGTTCGGTTCTATGGCTCAGTAGATCCGGCCTGGCTCTACGAATTGCAGACGAACGTGGCGTATTACCAGACTTTCTTCAACTACAGCTACCCTCTTTGGAGAAGCTGGAGGTAGGGTTTAGGGTTTAGGGTAATCTCTTTGGAGAAGCTGGAGGTAGGGTTTAGGGTTTAGGGTACCCTCTTTGGAGAAGCTGGAGGTAGGGTTTAGATTTTAGGGTTTAGGGTACCCTCTTTGGAGAAGCTGGAGGTCTACGATGATCGACCAAAAGGTCGACGAGGGCCGCCGCCGTCGACGCGACAAAACGGACTGCTCCTCTGTCGTGACAGACAGGCTGGTCCAAATGGGAGTTTCAGAAAATTAGGGTACCTTATTTTGGGGTCCTTATAATAGGGATCCTATTATTTAGGGTACTGTATTAGGGCCCCCTACCCCAGGCTGGTCCAAATCGGCAACGACGTCCATGTCCAAGACGGACAGTCGGTATCTAACAACCGCTGTGCCGAGATTGCTAACATGACCGCCCAGCGTATCCTGAACCAGGTCTCTGCAGCTATGGCTAAAGCGATGCAGCCGATCACCTACTTGCAGCGCTACGTGCCAGGAAGACGCCGCTGAAAGCCCCCAACTCCGAAACCCAAGCCCAACAACACCAACAGGCTTTCGGTTAGAAGCCTCGAGCCACCCGAAGCCCCAGTGCGAAACACGGCAAATCTAAACTCCAAGCCCTACACCCCAAGCCAAAAACCCTGTTCGAGGTATGGAAAAGGTCGCGCCCACAATCCTACCTGCTCTGGAGTTCATGACCGTCGGCCCCTACGCTGCTGTCACGCAAGACCTCCAAGACGGCAACAGAGAGGTAGCAAGCAACAATTGGCGGTGACCTCAGGAACAGGGAGGGCTCTAGCGAAATCAGCAGTTCTTGGTTGTAGAATTGCAGGAATATTTTGGGGACCTCGAACCGAATTCCTTGTCAACTTGTTGGAATTCGATCCTTCCTTCACATCTGCTTTCCGAAGTTGGGAAGGAGATCCCCGTCTCCAGCCTTGCGACCCCCGGCTCCATTTGCAATCCTTCAGCTTTCGTTCTTGCCTTTCCCTGCCCCCCGGTCGTTGTTTGTTCAAAGTTCTCCATCTCCCGTCTTGTCTCTTATCCGCATACTCTCTCCGAGTCCTCTTACTTCTTCATCTCCTCATCTCCTCTCGTTTGACTTCTTGTGCCCCTTGCGGTTTCCTACAGCCTGGCATGACGAAGCTAGCTTGACAGGAGTGGCAAAATACTTGTTCCTGTAATCGGATGGTCAAAATCGGCAGGGTAGTTGGTTCAGGACGGACGTGTCTGCCGAGATGCAACCGAGATCGTCCACTCCACTTGTCGCTGCAAATGCTATACTTTTGTCATAGCTACAGCTATAGCTAGCGAGCACGAGAGCTAGAGCTATTTGCTGTACTTTCTTCTTGTACTCTTCTATATTTATACTTTGCTATACCATGCCACGCCTTTCTATGCTATGCTATACCTTACTATACTATACTTTGCGATACGATACCATGCTATACTATACTATGCTATACTGTACGATACGATACGATACTACACTGTTATACTAAGTTCTCTCCCGTGTCCTGGGTCAGGGGGTGTCTTCTTTGCGGTCTGAGTCATCTGCAATCCCCTCAGTATGGTGTATAGGGTTTAGGTTTCAGGGTGTAGTATAGTAGAGTATAGTATAGTACGGTATGGTGCAGTTTAGTACCCAGCGAGCCCGGGATTTTTCCGTGGCTTCATTTCTCCGTTCCATTTCCTCTGCCTTTGCCTGCTGTTTCGGGTTTACGGTTTAGGAATTTTAGGGTTTAGGGTTTAGGGCCCAGGTGGGCCATCAACGAGACCGGATTCCTGGGCCCTGGCAACATCAGAAAAGCAAGCGCATGGGCCTACGGCTGCAACTTCGTGGACTACTTCAAGCTGCGCCTCTGATGATTTCCAGTGTGGGAGCTGCAGGAAAGCCTTTGAGCCCAACCTTGGACTAGGGTTTAGGGTTTAGGGTTTAGGGTTTAGGGCGTGAAGGGTTTGCGCAAGCCTGCACCTCTACACCGCATGGCATTCTTAATATAGGGGCCTCAATAGTTACTTTTGTTATTTCGGGGGTTCCAAATAAGTATGCGTTAGGGGCCCCAAAATCCTATTGTAATTACTAAGGCCCCTACATTACCCTTCATTATAAATCCCTGCACCTTCGAAGATGTCAAGATGTTCGGAGTTTCGGGGCTTAGGATGCGATGCTGAGAAGTTTGGTGCCTTAGCTTCAGACTTCGCTACGGGGGATGGCGTGTTCAAGCTTCAAAATCTAAACATCTAGCTATCATGAGTGGAGTCTCGGGGTTGGGACTTTTTCTGGCGGATTCCTGGGGCGTTGCTTGAAGCATTTTTCGTGGCTTGCGAAAACAGCGTAGGAATCGAACTCGCTGCATCTTCTGTGGGGCCGAGGACGTATGACGATGGAAGAGAAGAAACATCGGGCAAGACATCCAATACCAAAGGGAGCAATTGCGAAGACTCGGCTTACCCGGACAGGTACATCCATACCATCGAACTTCACTTCATCGAGGGCGATGAGTCGTGGAGTCCTTCGCAGGTGGTTAACATGAAGTTGTTCTTCTCCGACAGCTACAATACTGGTGAGTATTATGGATGCTATGGACAGTGCACGGCCGGAAAACCCAGTCAATACACTCAAAAGGCAGGGTGTTCTCAACAATTAGGGACGCCAAGTTTTAGGAACCGAATACGATCTTATCATTTCGGGTTCTATATAGGGCCCTTCCTGTCTGAGAATCGCAGGTGACGGTTACAGGGGACTCCACTTACAAGCTCGTAGGCGCCACGTTGGGTGAGATACCCAATAAAGGCTTCGGGTATATCAACGCGACTTTCCAGTGGGTGCAGTCAATGGCATGGTCTAGTGTGAGCAGGGTTAGCTCGAGCAACAACCTCACGACCGGGCAGCGGTTGCAAGCTGGTCAGGCGCTCTGGAGTTACAATAGCTTGAACAAGCTCCTCCTTTCAAGTAGTGGCAATCTGGCCATCTACAACATGTATGATAAAGTTTCGTGGCAGACGAACACCGCCTGCACAGAGACCGAGGCATACCTTGAACTGCAGGCAGACGGGAACCTGGTTCTGTATTGTGGGGAAAATCATGCTCTCTGGGCTTCCAACACCGAGCATGGTCAGATGCTGTGCCGGGTGGCCGCCATCGAGAACACGGGTGCTTTGACCATCTACACCCTTCCCGACCTTAAGGGAATCTGGACCAGCAGAGGTCAGGTCCCTGTAGGCTTCGGGAACAGCAGCCTTGCAAGCCCGCAGAGTCTTCAACCAGGCCAGCGGCTGGTTGCAAGCTCACTCTACCAGTTCGACCTGGCTTTCTCGGACGGCACTGCAGGGGGAGCTGTCAGATTGAAAGACTGGAGCCATGGGCGCGAACTTTGGTCCGCGGGAGCTTGTGAGGCCTCGGAAGACCCGGAATTCAAGTTACAGGAGGACGGAAATCTTGTCCTTTACTGCTCAGGAGCTGCAAAATGGGACTCTGGCACAGCGGACCCTTCCCTTGAAGAAGAGGAGGGGCAAAATATCCTGCAGCTGTTGGCGAATGGTGACCTCGTGATCGTGAGCAAGCGCAGCCAAGTCACATGGTCGAGCAACAGCAAGGTTGCGTATGACTATTTCAAAGATGACTACGGCATCTATGACCAGAACTGAGGAGGGGAGACGATGCGACAGTTTAAGCTTCCCACAGTTTCACCATATGTACTGCTGTTCCCCCGTCCTTTTGCATAGACAGGCTAGACTCAGGCTTGACTGTATGGGGGTGCCATGGGCTGCTAGCGGGTGTCAGAGGGACCTGGATGCTTGGTAGGCGGTACGGGGGGCGTATTTCAGGCAACATGTTATGTTAGGTTTCAGCTTCTGCTAGACCACATTCAACCCCCAGCTTTCCTGGTTCAAGCTCTGCAGGTGGACAGATATTGTGGCATTTGTGAAAGGAGTTCGTTGTATGAACCTTACAACACCAGCAGACCAACAACGAACGATCACCGCCGACCTGTTCAAGAATCTAATCGCAAGCAGGATCTAATCGCAAGCAGGAAATTCAAGACATTTCGCGTGCTGGCACTTTGCCCATTGAGATGTTATTGTCGCCCAAGCATGTGGAGGTGTGCTGCAAGTATGGGTCCTTTCACTAGGTGTAATCTCTCTCCTTCAACATCATGTGTAAAAGTTTTCGTACGTGCTGCCTCACTGTAGGAGCCAACTGAAGAGTTTGATCATGTTGCCGCGTCGGGAGACCTTTCACGTTTGAACACTTTGGGTCCCTGCCAGGTTTCGAGTTGGTCAAAGTCGGTCGCTTCTCCGAGCCGGCCATTTCTTGACATGAAATGGCCGTAACCTCTAAGACAAGTGCCGCAAGACTCCCGGTATGTGCAGAATAGCTTGATTCTCACAGCAATCCTGGACATCAATCCCAGGCTACTCGCCAGCACTTCGGCCCAGGAACCAAGGCATTGTGTGCCAGAAAAGTCGAAGCTCCAACATGTTGACGTCTTGCTTCTGGGCCCAGTCAGTCGCCTCTGGTTTCAGAGTCGCGCGCCTCATGGCTTCTAGGCTTCTGCAAGTCGCCTCAACCTGCTGTGGCCTTTGGGCTTCTGCCATGGCAAGGCCAAGCAGGCCCGGCTACCAGTAGTCGCAAAGTTTTGGGGCACACCATGCGTGCAAAAGTCCTAAAGGTTGGGAGGCACGTTTTGCTACCAAGTGTCTGCTGGGCCTCAAAGCATCGAAGCCTTGCCTCCTTGAACCCCCCTTCTCGCCCTTTCCAGCTCTGCCACTTCAAGGTCCCAGGGCTCAAGAAGACAGCTGCGCATTGCCCTAAACCTAAACCCTAAACCCTAAAACCTCAACCCTATCTTCAAGATGATGGCATCAATGATGGGTTACGGGGAGGCGCTCGAGGGCCCGGCTTGTAAGGGTTTTCCAGCTTTTCGAGGTCTTTCGCTCCCGAAAGTTGTCCCTGCTCTTAGTCTGCCATGCTGAACCTCAGCCTCGTGGGATTTTTCTGTCCTTACACCCGAAAAGGTACTGCCTCGATGACATGAAAGCAGCCTGACAGGCTTCAATGCTACAGCTATAGTTCCGTGGGTCCTTGGGCGATGGGCTGAATTGCTGAGAAAAAGACGGTACTGATTGCCGGCACTTGGCTCAGTCGGAAAGAGCCCACAGGCTAGCAGGCACAATGTAATGTCGATGCAGCTCGTGAACAGGCTGTTGCCAGACTCCCCCCAGCTTGCCGTGGCGCTTCATGCGACAATGGCTTTTGATTCTCCATTGCTCGCCAACCTGCCATCCGCTTCACACAGTCCAGCTCGCTTCAGTGAAAGATGGCATGGAAGATAAGCCGCCAACAGCCTCCCGGTTTCAGGTTGTCTTACTCCACGCGCCAAATCATGACCGGCTTTGTCCGCAGCTCCGTGGCCCCGAGGTCCCAGCAGTTCAATCATCAAGCGCTGAGCTTTCGAACGCGTGCAGCGCGCTAGCTGACTTGTGCTACCCCTTCCCTCGATTTCGAAGTTGCGATGATCATGATGCTTCATGACAGCTGGCAAAGCTGCTGCTGAGCTCGCAGTTGGAGACGTATCACAGAAGAATAGGGCAGCGCGCCACCAGGAGCATCCGCGAAGTTGCCGAGCTTTCTAAGTGACGCAGGCTACTTCTCAACATGCTGATCGGCGTGATGTGCGAAGTTGTCAGTGGTGTGTCTCAGACCGAGAGAGAAGCGACACTTGGATCAAGAGTGCTTCGGCTTTGGGCTAATTTCAGCA